TGTGTGTGTGTGTGTGTGTGTGTGTGTGTGTGTGTGTGTGTGTGTGTAGGCACAAATGCCTGTGAAGGCCAGACATCCAGCTTGGGTGTTGTTCCTTAGACACCATCTGCCTTGTTTCTGAACACGGTAGCTCACTGGCCTGGGGTTCACTAATTAGATTAGTTGGCCACTGAGTCTCTGGGATCCCCTTGTCCTCACCAGCCACACCTTCATTCCTGGCTTTTTACTGAGTACTAGTGATCGAACTTAGGTCCTCATGCAGCCAGTGCTTTATTGGCTAAGCCACGCCCCTGGCCTCTTGATCGCTATTTCCATCTTCCACTTCAAGCAGACAGCTAGAAAGCAGCTCCTCAGTGCTTGCTCCCTGTTGATCATAATTCCTTAAAAAATCCCACAATGCTTGAATAATTCCAAGGCCCACCTCTCTCTCTTAGGAGGTTCTGGCTCTATAGAACAGTTACCTCCTATGCCTAGCCTGGCCTAGCTACAGCCATCCATCATGGGGGCGAGTGTGCTCTGGACGGGTTGCTGGCCTAGCGGCAGGTGCCAACAGAAACATTTTCTCAGGATGCATCTAACTGACCATTGCAACAGCTCCGCGAAATTCCAGGCTGCCTCATTCCGTGACATAAGATTCTACGTAAGATTGCTTCACTGTATTCATTCTGCACTTTCTAACTTATTCCTTATTACTCAGTGACCTTCTTTCCCTCTCAGCGAAGCCGATTCTTAGGCCAAAGGTACTGTTTTAGTCATCCTATAATCATAGTTCCCAAATATAAAAAAGAAAGGAAAAAAAAAAAAAGCATCGTTTTGCTATTGAATGAATACGTCCCTTTTAGAGTTTTGCTAATTTGCATACCTGGCTTAGGCGATATGGTCATACCCTTAGCAATAGACCACACATCTACCCTAAAGGAAGGGGTTCGAATACCTCCCAAACATGTCGCAGTGCAGGGGGTGAAGCCAGCATACTCCCAGTCGTAGGTGATCTCACTGTCCTTTCCCTGGAGAGGGCCACCCTTCTCTCGAGACACAGGGCTCTGGTCACTGCAGGCATCAAGGAGGCAGGGTCGCTCGGTGGGGGGCTTGGGGCCTTCGCACTCCTCCTCGGGGAGCTCGGTGTCCGTCTGTGTGAACGTGAGGAGCACGCGACACCTCACCTCACGCACCTGGGTGCCGGGCCCACACGTGGTGCTGCAGGCCGACCAGGGCTCCGGGATGAACCTGAAGAACACCGGAAGCCGAGAGATGGGTCACATGTGGGCCACAAGAGGAATTCTATGGTCCCAGCAACTACTGGGCCAGTTATGTAGTTAGTGTATTTTGACATCTTACAACCAACAGAGAGAATTCTTCATTAAAGACACGGTGCTTTCGCCTCCACACAAAAATCAAAGTTTCACGCTAAGACCAGTGTAAAACACCACAGTATTTCGTAGGATGTGATAAATAAACCATAACCAGAGATAATCACGTGATTTCCTTTACAGGATGGATGTTTTTGCAAATCTCTATTAGCCAATCCTTGGCGAGCTTTTCCTTTGTAACGGGAGAATGTTGTACCTTCTCCAGACTTAAGAGCTGGGCGACAGGAGAAGGCAAAGGTGTTTGCAAAGAGGATGAAGCTATGATGTTCTTTCATGTTTAGTGAACACCCCCGCTTTTGAAGGTTCTTGAACATGACGGGAGCACACAAACTGGCCTCAGAGTGAGGCTTTTATTCTTTACCCTGAATTATTACCCACCAAGTCATGAAGGTTATCAAACTGGGCTTCTCAAATGAAATCTAGCCTAGAACTGTTTCCTGTAAGAGCTCATTGGCTACAAATGACTTTTATGGTTTGACACTGTTGGTGATAAATGAGGACATTATGCTGTGCCACATGAAAATGAAATAGAATCTACATTTTAGTGTATACGATGAGGGCTGTACCTGGGACACGGCCACACTCATTTGTCAGCCTTTCATTTATGGGTGTTTTTCTGCTACTGGACAGCTCTGAGTGTTTAAAACAGAATATTTATTCTGCATAACCTAAAATATTTACTCTCTGGCCATTTGCAGAAAATATTTCTAACCCTTTTTTATGAATTCATTAAAAAGTAGGTTCAGTAGGGGCATGAATAGATAACTCCGAAGCAATCATAGGATATTAATACATCAATAGAACAAGGATGGGGAGATGGCTCAGAGGGTAAAAGTGCTTGTTGTAGGAGCCTTACAACCTAAGTTCGACCCCAGAACCCAAGTCAAAAGCTAGATGTGCTAGCAGGAATCTATAATCCCAGCATTCCCATGGCAAAGTGGAGAAAGGAGCATCACCCAGAAGCTCCTGGGCAGCTAACCTGAAATATGAAGCTAACCTGAATACGCAGCATACTGGCAGAGACAAAACCTCAGACAAGGGAGAAGGCAATTCTGTCTTGACCCCCAAAAGATATTCCCTGAGCTTCTCACACACTTTGCAACATAAATACCTACGCTTAACACACACACAAACTATCATGCACACAGATAGGCATACTTACACATGCCAACCTTACATGCCAACCTACACATACACATAAACAAACTAATAGTTTTTTAAAAGAAAATAAAGTGACAGGTGAAAGAATTCAGTGGCAGATTAAGCTTCGAAAACTCTGGATTGGTGAATTCCCTAGTAAGGGGATTGTCTCTGACAAGAACTCAGTGGCTGGCTCTTTGATCACCTCCCCCTGAGAGGGGAGCAGCCTTACTAGGCCACAGAGGAGGCCAGACCTGATAGGCTGGGGTCAGAGGGAAGGGGAGGAGGACTTCCCCTAGCAGTGGACTGGGGAAGGGTCAAGGGGGAAAAGGGAGGGAGGGTGGGATTGGGAAGGGATGAGGGAGGGGGCTACAGCTGGCATACAAAGTAAATGAACTGTAATTAATAAAAAAATAAATTAATTAAAAAGAGAAAACCCTGGATTGAGTAGTGTCAGTCCATAGGTTTATTTATTGCAACACGCCCCCTAAGACTATGATATTTGACTTCACACTGTAAGAAGTGAGATAAATGCAATGTGAAGCGCCTTATAAACGGGAGAACAGTGAGAGGCTGCGGCTGAGATGCGGAGATATTTCAAGCTTACCGAGACCCAGAACAGTGTACTTCCAACAGCTCCTGAGTCCTGTGTGGAATGACTGCTAAGACACTTGAGCGCCTCTCCCCTGGGAGCCCACAGCCATGTTGGGGTGTCGCTTAACCTTGAGAGAGTTAACCTCCCGGTCTGATAACCCCCAAGCCTCCATCTACCTTAAACTCTTTTCTCAATAATCTCTGACTCCACTTCAAACTAGCTCGTCCTGAAATTATTTTCTACTGCAAAATAAAGAAACTCGCTTCATTCGAGGACCCATCTCTGAGGATAACTGCTGTCTCTGCCTCCCACCCCACAGCTACGGACTTGAGTATCTCATTGATGGGGCACCATAAGCAGGTAGGAATCATTGTATACGCTATGTCCATAATGCCGATTATTAAACTGCTATTTTTAGAGTCACAGAGAGAGGCAACTTAGGTAATCTGATGTTGAAGATAATTGAGACAGCAACATGAAACAGAAAGCATTTTCAAAAATAAAATAAGGAAAGATGCATCTTGGAAAAGCATTATCTTCCAGGAAGATGTGATACAGAAATTCTAACACTGAAGCCTAAAGTTGCGCTGGTGCACGCCCGTACTCCCAGCACCCAGGGAGGCAGAGGCAGGTGGATCTCTGTGAGTTTGAGGTCAGTTTGGTCTACAAAGCGAGTCCAGGACAGCCAGGGCACAGAGAAACTGTGTCTCAGAACCCTCCCCCCACAAAAAAAGTTGTAGGCATAGTAGCAGCTCCCCCTCCCCAACATTCCCAGGTAGCTCCTGGAATATGTGATTACGTGAGAGTCTACAGCAAAAAGGACCCAACTGATGTTCTTACAGTTATAAATTTAGAGATAAGCCTGTGTTGTCATAATGGACCCAGCCTCGTCAGAGGGGTCTCCAGAAATGGAGCTCCTCAGGTTGAAGCCAGAGATGTGGCAGGACCAGAGGTAAAGGGACATGTCTTAAGTCCTGGGAAACACTCAGCTCCTGCTGCTGGTCCAAAGGTGGAAGAGGCCACATGCCACAGAATGCTGGTGGTTTCTAGACACTAAAGATAACCCCTCAGCCGACAGCAACAAGTAAATAAGAATTTCCACTCTACAGACTTTAGGTACAATGAAGAAAAGAGATAGAATAAAAAGAAAAATAAATGTAGTAGAAGAAAACTTTCATGAACTCCATCACGATCTGGACCTATGCTGTAAAAATATCCCTGACTGGGTCGGCAAGATGGCTCGGTGGGTAAAGTCATACTGCTGCCAAGCCTGACGACGTGAGTTCAAACCCTGGGAGCAACGTGGTAGGAGAGCATGAACTACAAGCTGCCCTCTGACCTCCACACTCATGCTGTGGCACACATTTAGCCCGTGCATAAACACACACACACACACACACACACACACAAACAAGTAAATGATAAATAGTAAGCCTTTATTGTTTGTCAATACTATTAAAATACAAGCCTTACCTGGATTTGCTTTAGAGAAGCACTATAATCTTAGTTATATGGGAAAAAATCCAAATATGCAAGTATCAAAAACAGTTGGCAATAAAGGGAGAAAAGGTAATTTAACATAGAAAATGAAAATAAAATACAAAATAAAAAAGGCAAAAGGCAGGTATAAATACCAGGAAAACATGAACAAAGGTCAGGCACGGTGTTGCACAATGTGAGATCAGCAGTTGGAAAGTGTAGACAGGAGAATGGTGAGTTTGAGGCTAGCCTGGCTTTACAGTAATTTAGTCTTCCAGTTGACACCTTCTCTCAACAAACAAACAAAAACTTGTTCTCCAGCCAAAGAATAAACCCAGTAGACAGCGTATCATGGTTTAAAATTTATCTGATAGTTACAAAACATAAAGTTAACTGAAAACTTGGGAAAAGTAAGAATTCAATAAGATAATTCACAAATGTATTTATGTATAAGTAAATATGCATATTTTATTCATGGATAAATAAAAACATAGATATGTAATGCAAAAATGACCTGTTTCCACAGAATTCAGGTAACAAAATGTTAGCTGTCAGATCCTATACTAAATATATGTACAAGCAAATATATTACTTAATATAATTGTTAATTATATATATATTACTTAATATAATTGTTATCTTACCTCTTTAATTTTATAAGTGAGAAAAGCCAAGTCTTAGAAATATAAGAACATTTCCATAATTCTATGAGCTTGTAAGTGAAAATTTTATGCAGACTACGTTGGTCTGATATGGGTACGACTATGAGATGCTGGGTAAGGGCCAGTCAGATGGCATACCAGGTAAAGACGCTTGCTGTCAAGCCGGATTCAGCCTGGGCTCGGTGCCTAGGACCATGTGGTGGAAGGGGAGAACTGACTCCCGGACATGATCTTCTGACCTCCTCACACATGTGCCACGGCACTAACACGTGAATAAAACTTAATTTTTAAAAAATTGAAATACTGAATAGATTCAGATCCCAAAGACATCCTCTACCCTGGAGCACAAGGCTAAGAGCTACAATGACTGTTGTTTTTCCCCCCCCCCCCCCCCAAACTGATCTAACTTCAATCTAAATCTCTGAGGTTGTTAGAGTTTGGGGCTGAAGGGACACCAAACAGCTCTAAAGATTTACAGGAGATTGAAAACAGCTGAGGACATCTTTGAAAAAAGGAACAATTATGGAGTAATTGCCTAGCCTGATAGAAAAAATAGAATTAAAAAGTTAAAATTGGGAACCGGAGAGCTAATTGAACAGTTAAAAGCACTTGCTGCTCTATGAAAATAAATTCACCTGTATGTTTTATTTTATGTGCGTGCTGCTTTGCCTACGTGTTTCTGTGCATCACATGTGTGCAGTGCCTGCAGGGGCCAGGAGAGTGTATCGGACGCCCCGGTACTGTCGGACGCCCTGGTACTGTAGTTGCAGACAGGTACGAGCTGCCACATGATGTCGGGAGCTGACCCTGGATCATAGAAGAGAAGCCAGTGCTCTTACCAGCTGAGCCATCCCTCCAGCCCCCAGTTTTATCTAACTCTAGTTTAGCCCTAGATCTTGCAGAGGACCCAAGCTCAGCTCCCAGCAGCCACACTGTGACTCTCAACATCTGTAACTCCAGTTCCAGGGGGTAAGACACAGT